TTAATCGAAATTAAAAGATTGATGTTGGCCATTTAGATTCAATATTGCCCATTAGCATCTTAATAATTTATTGATTTATTTTGTTTATTTAGGGTAAACGCACCAATAGTTGAGGTAAATTAGTGCAATGTGTTTCTATAGTAGCTTATGGAGACTTTATAAGCCACTATAGGAACACATTACAGTAGCGTACCTCCACTATTGGTGCGTTTATCCTATTTATTTATTTATTTATTTAATTGATCACTTCCAAGTGACTATTCAACTCTGATTGGAAACATGTATTAATGTATACAATACGCGGAACAGAACAAATTTACACAGCTACAGAAATATGTAACACAGCATAATAATCACCAAAACATTTTATGGAACCTTAAATCCGTTTCTCCTCACTATGTTTAGTTAGCAGCTCGACAATAAGTTTTACTGAAAATCAGCGATGCCATGTACAGCTTTCCTCCGAAGAACGCGTTAACCACCGCTTTTTATCGGCGGGTTTTCAACCTATCGTTTTGATTTTCTGCGACTGACTAGTATCCATTGAGTGTGATGAGTGGGTAACGTGTTCTCTGGGGGATAGCTGTATCCTGATTTTTGTATACAAAAAAGTAAGGTACTTTTACAAGTTTATAACCTAAAAAAAATAGTAAAATAGTAAAACAAAAAATATTTTTGCGCCAACAAACTTGTTACAGAACCCTATGGAATCAAAATGAACAAGAGGGTTCCAACATTCATCGTGTAAAAAAATTAGGATACATGGCATCGTTGCTGAGATGTTGTTGAGATTTAGCGAAACATTTTCCGAGACTCAGCAAACAAACATTACTTTTGCTGAGCTCTAAGTAAAACATATCAAAACATATATTCAGCGGAGGCGGTACCGGTGGTGTAGTGGTAAGCGTGATTGCCTCTGACCCCAAGAAGCCTGGGTTCAATCCCAGTCGGAGCCACCGGGATTTTCTGAGGCATAAAATCTCTGATCACGGAAGGGAAGTAAAGCCGTAAAGGAAGGGAAGTAAAGCCGTAAAGGAAGGGAAGTAAAGCCGTAAAGGAAGGGAAGTAAAGCCGAAGGGAAGTAAAGCCCCGGTCCATGAGTTGATGGGTCGATAGGGGTCCAGGTGTGGGAGCTGCCTCCCTGTCGTCGGTAGCATTGGTACTCAGTACGGAAAACATATCAAGGAAAGAAAAAATATTCAGTGGTGCCAAAATTCCCGAGATTTGGCAAACCAAGCTTAGTGTGTACATTGCTAATGAATAGCTTTTCATTAACAATCGGCGTCGGTAGCATTGGTACTCAGTACGGAAAACATATCAAGGAAAGAAAAAAATATTCAGTGGTGCCAAAATTCCCGAGATTTGGCAAACCAAGCTTAGTGTGTACATTGCTAATGAATAGCTTTTCATTAACAATCGCTTCAAAAAGCTTTGGAATAAAAGACATAATTTCATTTTCACAGTAATTAAGTATGTCAGATTTTTAGAAACTTTTGAAAATAAAAGGTGATACGGTCAAAATTTGGTCAATATCAACTTGACGTATTTCTTTCAATTTTGCATTTAAAAAACCTGAACACCCCTCATTTTGAAGGTGTGTGTGTGTAGAATGTTGCTCCTATTTTGATTTTGGAATTCACTATTCAGTTGTCAAAATGCCGTCCAAGCAAGAAGAGCAGCGTAACAAAATTTTGCTCGCGCATCGCGAAAATCCGAACTACTCGCACGCAAAGTTGGCAAAATCGCTAAAAGTTGCCAAATCAACCGTTACAAATGTAATTAAAGTGTTTGGGGAACGTTTGTCGACAGCCAGGAAGTCTGGATCGGGGGGAAATCGAAAACCGGAAGCCGCTGAGACGACAAAGAGAGTTGCCGGTAGTTTCAAGCGAAACCCTAACCTCTCTCTCCGAGATGCCGCAAATAAGCTGGGTGTATCGTCTACAACCGTGCATCGAGCCAAAAAACGAGCTGGACTATCGACTTACAAGAAGGTAGTGACTCCAAATCGCGATGATAAACAAAATACGACGGCCAAAGCGCGATCCCGGAGGCTGTACACGACGATGCTGACGAAGTTTGACTGCGTGGTAATGGACGACGAAACCTACGTCAAAGCCGACTACAAGCAGCTTCCGGGACAGGAGTTTTATACGGCAAAAGGAAGGGGAAAGGTAGCAGATGTTTTCAAGCACATGAAACTGTCAAAGTTCGCAAAGAAATATCTGGTTTGGCAAGCCATCTGTATCTGTGGCTTGAAAAGCAGCATTTTCATAGCTTCCGGGACTGTCAACCAAGAAATTTACGTGAAAGAGTGTTTGAATAAACGTCTGCTGCCTTTCCTGAAGAAACACGGTTGTTCCGTACTGTTTTGGCCGGATTTGGCATCTTGCCATTACGGTAAAAAGGCCATGGAGTGGTACGCCGCCAACAACGTGCAGGTGGTTCCCAAGGACAAGAACCCTCCCAACACGCCAGAGCTCCGCCCAATTGAGAAATACTGGGCTATTGTTAAGCGGAACCTAAAGAAGACCAAAAAAAACTGCTAAGGGCGAGCAGCAGTTCAAGGCAAACTGGCTTTCTGCGGCGAAGAAGGTGGACAAGGTGGCTGTACAAAATCTGATGGCAGGGGTCAAGCGTAAGGCCCGGCAATTCGGATTTGGAAAAGCGGAAGCCTAACTGAATATTTTTCCTGAATTTTATACTAATTGAACTTGAAAAATAAATTTAATTTGATTTTTTAAATAAACGATTTCACCGATTTACACGCGTTTTCCCTTGACCAAATTTTGACCGTATCACCCTTTAGGCACTAAGAAGCAGCTTTTTCATGTTTCAGCAGTATTGTGACATGACAGTTGATACCTGCTGATTTTTAGTACCTATTGATTAGTATTTAACTCGTAGACAAACGATGGATTCTTCAGTGGTGTTGAGTACTTGGCACTGATGAAGTCTGCAAGTAGTGGACGAAATACGCCTATCTGTCAAAAGATAAGCAATTATAAAGGAATTTAAAGGAAATAAACCAACCCACTCAAAGCTCTCCATAAAGGGATTCCGTTAAGAGATTCGACAAATTTAAAGGATCAATGTTTTGTTTACACAAAAAAATCTCATGGATATTTGTTAATAACAAATTTATGCAATTTTGCTCCTTCCCCATGGACATTATAACGTCTAATGGTTTATAACGTCTAATGGTTATTTCTTTCATGTAATTATCGTTAATAATAGTTATTCAATAGTAGATAGTTCATCCATATATTCGTACTTTGACGCGAAGCGTTGTGGATTATGAGATGCTCGATGACCCTGGAGGGATCGATTTTCCTTACCGAGCAGAAAATCATGGATTTAACCCCAAGCTCTTTCATAGCACAATAAATCGCCACCATCATTTGTATATTTGATATTGAACATTAACCTCGGAAACTATTTGCATATCAAGCGAAAACGTAGTCGTGTTTTGTCGCGAAGTGTTATGGGTATGAGATGCTCGATGACCATGGAGGGATCATTTTTGCTTACTGAGCATAAAATCATGAGTTTAATCCCAAGCTCTCCGTCATGAATCTTTAAATTCATGATCACTAAATAAAATGAATATGATCTTTCGATAGCCGGCTATCGAGAGATTAAATAAACAACAAATAAACAATACCTACTTTTGGTTGCATCACCAACTTGAGGTGAATCCTAACCGAATACCCTACCCAACCCTCCAACTCTCTAGCAATTATGAGGGTGTCGCTAAGTCGGTGGCCTCTCGTTAAGTAAGTACTACATCAACATTTTCTTCCTTATCCCTAGTTATGGTAAAGATGAACGTGGCCGGGAATAGCGACAGTCATGCTTCTGTAACTCTTGTTCAGATTGGAACCAATGTTTACTCCCGAGCATTATTCCTGAAAGTAGTCTAACTGAGAATGAGACGTGAGTGTCGCTAGTATCCAATTTACGAAGTACATCATAACAACGCTAACGCTATAACAAATCTACGCAATTTTGCTGAATTTTTTAATGAATGGTTTGCTTAAGCCCTTAACTTTTAGTTTTGTCAAAATTAAACTGAAATGTTTCATTTTCCCCATTGACTGGGAGTAAGATGTTATATTTTTTAGTGGCTGGAATAAAGTCAGTACTACGGTGATTGATGTCTCCATATATATGAACTTTTACTCCAAGGGGAAGCCTAGTCGCAATTTCTTCAGTAATATGAAAAAAACTTTTCATGTGGACTACATTGTTCATATCCGCATGTTTCGGGTACACCGGGAAAGTGGCCAGTTCCTGACTAGATCCAAAATCCTTGATGAATGGTTCAGAAACACCAGAATTCAAAAACATGATCAATGACTGCCAAACCAAGTGCCCAGGACCACATTGGCCACATCCGATAATGTTGTCGATAACGAAAGGCCACTGCAGCAGATAAATCCCAATCAAACAAAAAATTGTTGGAATTTATATTAGTAAGATGGGTAAGATCTCGCCATAGGTGGTTTAATTAAGTTTTTCTGTAAACATTGGTAAAATAAAAAAAAAAAATCGGAATAATAATAAGATTCATTTTCGCATATGAATTTAACGCAAACACATTATTATCCTTGCATGAACAGTGATCGCTATATAAATATAACATGATCGATCGTTCATTAGATCAGCAATTTATTATGTTGTCACTCGAACGAAACGAATTAACTTTGCACATGGGAATCGTATCGTCACGTGACAGATTGTAGATTCTGTAGACTATTTTGCACTTTAAATCCTTGATTTATTTTCCTAATGATCTGTTTTCTATACTCGGTTGAAGTACTAATTTAAATTGGTTATTTTGTCAACGATACTCTTTTTTAATGCTTATGATTCCTTGTTTTCCAAAAGCTCTATAACGAAACGAATTAGTTCATTTCAATAAATTGTGTTTTTGTATATAATAAATATTACTGTTGTAAATTATGTCGTAATAACTTTTCAAATTTATGTTCTTTTTTCAGAGTCGATTCTTAGAAGATGCATCAATCATGTGTAACTCATGGTCTCCAAGACATAATGTAAGTGCTAATATCTATATGCATAAACAGAAAGCGTACTGAATACAGAGAACACGGATCTAAATTTAAGATTATGAACTGTTTAATTTTACAGAAAAGCTCTAACATTAACATAAAACAATTTTCCAGTTTATTTGGATGAATTTTTTTTCTAACTTACCAGTCTAACTCAAAAAAAAAGAACTTATGTTACATTTACTATGATGATTAATAAAATAAGTCATAAAAATTCAATTTATAATTTTTTTTTTAAACCTTTATTAACGAGATTTTTTACCCACCTGAAAATAAAAAAAAATGAACTCCTTAAATAAAATAATACATTTCCACGCCAATTTACGAATCAATATTAATTATACCCTCTCAGATATACAAAAAAATTCTCATAACTGTTCACTATTGGGAATCATTCAAATTTGGGTTGGTATTCAGCCATTTACCTCGCAGCTCATTTTTAAAAACTGTATTTTCGATATTTATCAATATACCATAGCGCAAACATGTTTAGTCTAATCGAAATTACAACCGAGACAACGTTTTAGAAACATAGATCTTCATTCTTCTTGGCATTTCTACATCCCAACTGGGACTTTACGCCAGTTCTCAACTTGTACTATTAGAATCGATTTAATATTGTTTGAATGATTTTTATCGTTACTGTCGTCTGTGGCTGTTTATTTCAATAATTTTCTTTGCTTTATTTACCGTTACCTACCGTTTACCGTGTTTCGTGTTAATTATCGACGGGTATGGAGTGCATGGAAAGTGGAGTTTAACTTTGAGCTTGTGATGCTATTTGTGGTGTTGCGAAATCACCGAATCATTTAACTTCTTAACCAGAACGCACCGTAGAAAGCATTTTGCAGGGGGCATCCACAATCCTTTAATTCAGTCGTCCCTATTCTAGGCATCGTTCATCATAGCCTGGGCTTGGATGTGGATCGGAGAGTCAGGCTAAGTCAGGCAACTATACATTGATCATTCGCTATCTGAAGTCGGTTTGAATTTTAGCGTACTGGATTCTACTAATGGAGGAAACGTTACAGCTGGTTGGAACCCGGGTCACGCCGTAGAATTCACTGTGGAATACCCTAAAACCCTCTGACCCAGTTCTGCCATATACCGCCTCCGATTATCATAGTCTTGATAATGTTTGCTCGCTATCTGATGTTTCCGTTATTTCCAGGAATAACGCCTTACCTTGTGCGACCTTAAACCGTAAACAAGACAGTCAACATATTTTACCAAAATAATGGCGGTATGAATCTTGACGTTCACGACTACCACTCATCGTTTAATTTTGAATTTACTACTCACTCACACGCATACAACATCAGAAACGTGCAGTAACTTGTGCGAGCCGCATTGATTTCGTTCGTATTCTCATTGCTTCTATTTTTTAGATGATTGTGAAATTTGTTCATTTGACTCTTCCGTTGATTCGCTGATGTGGAAATGCACTGGCTGCATACGCACATTTCATGCAGCCTGCGTAGGAGTGACCGTGCAGAGGAATTCACTACGCAGGAAGGACAATAAAAAAGTAGGGGATTTTAATTCTTATCTTCTACCATGCTGCGACTCGTGTCAAGAGCATCTACAAGCAAAGTTAGAATTCAATCAATTAGCGGCTCAACAAAAACTTCTAACGGAGCAACTGCATGCCAACACAGAAGTGACACATCGTTTCGCGATGCAGCAAGAAAATCCTCGAATTGTTCACGAAGCTGTCGAAGGCCTGGAGGTACTGCTGGTAGGCATAAAAAATGAACTGTGTGCAATTAACAGAAACAGCACCTTAGCTGGCAGTGTCGTTGCCCTCAAAAATCACACTACATCGCTTTTCGATACAGCTATGATGGGAACAAAAGACAGTGTGTCTACGTCATTGAGAACTGTGACGTCAGGTATATCCACCGAGCTCCGAAATATCAGTAATGAAATAAATCAACTGAACCAGCTGTCGCTCGACATTGCGTCAAGTTGTACCATGAGCTCTAACTCTGTGCTGGAACTCGATATTCTTGACGAGCTGAAGTCACTGTCAGCAAATATAGCCTCAACACGGAGCACTGCACCTTTGCAATCGCCATCTGACTCGTGCCCCAGCTTATTTTCTTATTTATTTGTCTGCATCAACAGGCTGTGTAAAGCCCCAATGATGATTTAAGTAACTTATATAGGTAAAAATCAAATCAAAAAATAAAAACTAAGAATAAAATACATAAATAAAACACACAATCATTCACGGTTAACTGTGCCAGAAAAGAACGATGAGAAGTATCTTCGTAGCAGCTGTCGAGGCATATGGAAATCGAAGATGCCCGAGACTCGATTGAACACTCGTTGCAGCCCACCTATTGCACCGTTCATGCCATAGTTTGTGCGCTGAAGTGGCAATCTCAGCATAACGTTGTTACGTAGCGCACGGGGTTGGACGTTAATGTTGACTTGCCCCAAGATTGCACTGCAATCAATTCTACCTTGTAAAGTGTCCGCAATGAACAGGGCCCTAGAGGTGTCTCTTCTAGTTCGGAGAGGCTCCAGATCAATCAGCTGGCAACGACTTTCATAGCTGGGCAGATGAAATGGGTCTCTCCAAGGCAGCTTCCGCAGAGCGAATCGAAGAAAACGGCGTTGAACGGACTCAACTCTCTCAGCACCATTGTTGTAGTTTGGACTCCAGACCACAGAACAATATTCCAGAATGGATCGCACCAAGGAACAGTACAGTGACTTCAAACAGTAGATATCGGAGAAATTCTTTGCTATCCTGAAGATAAATCCCAACGTCCTAGACGCCTTGTCGACAACGTACGAGATGTGCTGCTTGTACGTAAGTTGAGAATCTAGAATAACACCCAGATCTTTCACATGGTTCACACGGTCGATTACAGTGCCGATAAGTTTGTATTCAAATGTGATTGGTTCTTTCTTCCGAGTAAAAGTGATCACTGAACACTTAGTGGGGTTAACCACCATTCGGTTCAAATTACACCAGCTGGCAAAGGCTTCGAACTGACGTTGAAGGAAGTGACAGTCATCAATCGAGTGGATTCGTAGGTAGATTTTAAGATCGTCTGCATACGATAGTCGTGGACCTTCGATGACCAAGTTCACGTCATTGAAGTAGAGTAAGAAAATCAAAGGTCCCAGGTGACTTCCTTGAGGTATTCCTGACGTAGCTAGATATATATTGGACCGGTTGTCACCAATGGCAACCATCAGTTGCCGATCAGTGAGATATGAACGAAACCATCGCAAGAGGTTGCCGCTGACCCCAAGTCTATGCAACTTGGCAATCGCGATGGCATGGTTTAGCTTATCGAAGGCAGCTGACAAGTCGGTGTATATGACGTCTGTTTGAGTCCTCTCTGCCATGCTTTCCGTAAGATACGATGTCAAACACAGCAGATTTGTGGAAGTAGAACGACCGGAAGTGAAGCCGTGTTGATCACCACTTAGATACTGCTTACAATGAGAGAGTAGAGGCTCCATGATGACTAACTCGAATAACTTCGAAACTGCGCTCAACGACGTAATTCCACGATAATTGTCCACATCCCGTTTGCTGCCCTTTTTGTGGATAGGATGAGGTGGAATTACATGCTTGGAGGTGGAATTAAATAACAACAACGATGACTCAGGGTGGCGTCTACTTGGTACCAGGAAGGTATGGAAGGCAAACTGGACCGAGTACGATGACCGAAAATCACGCCGTTTGATACAGCAAAAAATAGCTGGAAAGGCTAGAAGGTGAAGGAAACAAAACTTGCTCAACAACAACAACAAAAACAACAATAACAACAACCACAACAACAACCACAACAACAACAACAACAACAACAACAACAACAACAACAACAACAACAACAACAACAACAACAACAACAACAACAACAACAACAACAACAACAACAACAACAACAACAACAACAACAACAACAACAACAACAACAACAACAACAACAACAACAACAACAACAACAACAACAACAACAACAACAACAACAACAACAACAACAACAACAACAACAACAACAACAACAACAACAACAACAACAACAACAACAACAACAACAACAACAACAACAACAACAACAACAACAACAACAACAACAACAACAACAACAACAACAACAACAACAACAACAACAACAACAACAACAACAACAACAACAACAACAACAACAACAACAACAACAACAACAACAACAACAACAACAACAACAACAACAACAACAACAACAACAACAACAACAACAACAACAACAACAACAACAACAACAAAAACAACAACAATAACAACAACAACAACAACAACAACAACAACAACAACAACAACAACAACCACAACAACAACAACAACAGCAAAAATAACAACAACCACAGCAACAACAACAATAACATATCTAACAATCATCGAAACAACAACACTAACCTAACAGTTTCCGCAGCAGTGTTAGTCAGAATAGAAACAACCTACTGCCACCTGATCGAGAGCTTCTTGCTGCAGCGAAATATCGGTTTTACAGACCGCCGCAGGCTAACTATCGACCCACGATGCAATTCCAACGAGGGGAAATCTTAAACCCCTACCCGGCGTGCGATGTATACCCACGTACCGTTCCAGCGCACTTGCATAACGGGATGGCTGCAACTGCATCATGCGAGGCGTGTGTATGTAGGAATTCGTGTTTTGTACGAAATTGACGCACCCCTTGGAGGAAGACAATGATCCGGCAGACCCCGACATTATCCAGGACTTGACGACTTCTCTACATCAAGGAGAGGCACTCGTTTTTTCTACAAAACTGACACACTCCATAGAGGAAGAAAATAACGAAGATCACGACACTTGGCAGAACGAAACAAATTCGGAACATGGATCAGGGGTAAATAATTTTGATAATAGTTTTATGAATGACAGGTTACCATCAACTTCTTCACCTAATCTTCAGACCAGTACAGAAATTTTGGTATATTGCCAAAATGTTAACCGCATGAGAAGCGCCGGTAAAATGAAAGAAATTAACAAAAATATATT